CTAATGTCTAGAATCAATGTGGTCTTTCACTCACTATATGCCACTCCACTAATGTCTAGAATCAATGTAGTGTCTCACTTTTTATATGCCACTCTACTAATGCCTAGAATCAATGTAGTGTTTTACTCACTATATGCCACTCTACCAATGCCTAGAATCAATGTGGTCTTTCACTTACTATATGCCACTCTACTAATGCCTAGAATCAATGTGGTGTTACACTTACTATATGCCACTCTACTAATGCCTAGAATCAATGTGGTCTTTCACTCACTATATGCTACTCTACTAATGCCTAGAATCAATGTGGTCTTTCACTCACTATATGCCACTCTACTAATGCCTAGAATCAATGTAGTGTTTCACTCACTATATGCCTAGAATGAATGTAGTGTTTCACTCACTATATGCCTAGAATCAATGTAGTGTTTCACTCACTATATGCCACTCTACTAATGCCGAGAATCAATGTGGTGTTTCACTCACTATATGCCACTCTACTAATGCCTAGAATCAATGTGGTGTTTCACTCACTATATGCCACTCTACTAATGCCTAGAATCAATGTAGTGTTTCACTCACTATATGCCTAGAATCAATGTAGTGTTTCACTCACTATATGCCTAGAATCAATGTAGTGTTTCACTCACTATATGCCTAGAATCAATGTAGTGTTTCACTCACTATATGCCACTCTACTAATGCCTAGAATCAATGTGGTCTTTCACTCACTATATGCCTAGAATCAATGTGGTGTTTCACTCACTATATGCCTAGAATCAATGTGGTGTTTCACTCACTATATGCCACTCTACTAATGCCTAGAATCTATGTGGTCTTTCACTCACTATATGCCACTCTACTAATGCCTAGAATCAATTTGGTCTTTCACTCACTATATGCCATTCTACTAATGCCTAGAATCAATATAGTGTTTCACTCACTATATGCCTAGAATCAATGTAGTGTTTCACTCACTATATGCCACTCTACTAATGTCTATAATCAATGTAGTGTTTCACTCACTATATGCCTAGAATCAATGTAGTGTTTCACTCACTATATGCCACTCTACTAATGCCTAGAATCAATGTGGTGTTTCACTCACTATATGCCACTCTACTAATGCCTAGAATCAATGTGGTGTTTCACTCACTATATGCCACTCTACTAATGCTTAGAATCTATGTGGTGTTTCACTCACTATATGCCTAGAATGAATGTAGTGTTTCACTCACTATATGCCTAGAATCAATGTAGTGTTTCACTCACTATATGCCTAGAATCAATGTAGTGTTTCACTCACTATATGCCATTCTACTAATGCCTAGAATCAATGTAGTGTTTCACTCACTATATGCCACTCTACTAATGCCTAGAATCAATGTAGTGTTTCACTCACTATATGCCTAGAATCAATGTAGTGTTTCACTCACTATATGCCTAGAATCAATGTTGTGTTTCACTCACCATATGCCACTCTACTAATGCTTAGAATCAATGTAGTGTTTCACTCACTATATGCCTAGAATCAATGTGGTCTTTCACTCACTATATGCCTAGAATCAATGTGGTGTTTCACTCACTATATGCCTAGAATCAATGTGGTGTTTCACTCACTATATGCCACTCTACTAATGCCTAGAATCAATGTGGTCTTTCACTCACTATATGCCACTCTACTAATGCCTAGAATCTATGTGGTCTTTCACTCACTATATGCTACTCTACTAATGCCTAGAATCAATGTGGTGTTACACTTACTATATGCCACTCTATACTAATGCCTAGAATCAGTGTGGTCTTTTACTCACTATATGCTACTCTACTAATGCCTAGAATCAATGTGGTCTTTCACTTACTGTATGCTACTCTACTAATGCCTAGAATCAATGTGGTGTTACACTTACTATATGCTACTCTACTAATGCCTAGAATCTATGTGGTGTTTCACTCACTATATGTCACTCTACTAATGCCTAGAATCAATGTGGTGTTTCACTCACTATATGCCACTCTACTAATGCCTAGAATCAATGTGGTGTAACACTTACTATATGCTACTCTACTTGCGAGAGCATTATTTGGAATTCTCCTGACACAGGATTTACACACATGGCAATTTTTTCAAGATCGTTTATACATGTATTTACATAAAATTAAATGGGTATTGAGATAAAACTACTGGTAGTCTGATCAATGCTAAGCATTACTGCAGTGGCATACAGTGAGTTGATTATAGGCTACTGCTATATGTATTGCTAATGTATGCAAATGTTATGATGTTATCTACATTTTTACATTTCTATGCGATCTGTACTAATGCTTACTTATGTACAGTAAACAGTAATTGTCTTATTTGTTTCTATCTTACAGATACTGAGTGTCTTCGTTATTCTTGGTATTCTTCTGTTTATAGTCCTCACCTTTTTCACCTCACCACACGTTTTCAAGTCAAGCTGGCAGCCGTATATGGTGTCATTTCTTTATCCACTCTTTGCCTTTGCACTTGGTTACACAATACCAATTTTACTGAAATTTAATAGTGCTCAGGCCCGAACCGTTGCATTTGAGACTGGTATACAAAATAGCGCCCTCGCTCTCAGTATAATCAATCTGTTAATTATACAAGGCAATGATGTTAAGGAGATGATGATAGTACCAACGCTACATGCTGTAATGACTGTTATAGAATCATTCACCATTGTTGGCATCTATTGGGCTTATAAAAAACTGAAAGCCAAACAACAATTACAATCAGTCTGTGTTGATGATGAAAAAGGTGAAACAAAATCAATTCAGCATAGTCAGCATGAATTGAATAAAGTGAGTGGGATTGAAAATATTTCCATGGTTACAGGAGATGAAAAATCTACCAACACAGGTGAATAAAATTGAAAGGAGAGATTATTCATATTCTATGGGATGCTGAAAACTCTTGATGACAAAATAAATTGATAAACATGCTTCATAATTTTGAATGTTTTCTTCAGTGTATGTAATAAAGTACTTTATATATCACAATAATACAATGTAACTTTGAAGCATGTGTCTTTATAAGTCGAGAATAGAGTCAAGAGTATTGGACTATTATCTACAGATGAAGGCATGCTTCTTCCAGAGGCCACTAAGATGGTAAAACAATTGGTGTACTTGTATTTACAAGATTGTCATCTACAAAAATTGTTAAATATATTTAATGTATTTTTATTTTACATATTTATATTTTTATTGTATGTGTGCAAAGGGTTTCATTATGTACTAAAATTGTGTGTGTTTAATTTAGATAAAGGAATCATTGTCATAAATGGCAAGTTGTAAATTCCATTATTTTCAGCTTTATGTATTAAAATATACATTTTTGTCTTGCTTCTCATGTCCTGACAAGAATGCATGTGTGAAGTACATCACCATCCTAAAATTCATTGACAAGGCATATTTACTGCATTCACTCACATTCACATAATCGTCTGCAGAGTTGACTTGCAGTATATTATCTTACTATGGTTAATGCATGTCTGTGGTGTAGAAATCAGCGCATGGGAAATCAAAACGACCACCTACTGGCATTTTAGCAGTAATATACAAATATATATATATATATATATATATATATATATATATATATATATATATATACACACATGTATATAGAGAGTAGTTTTACTATATTTTGGGATCCCCTACATTTCTATTTTTACGTGAATTTCTCAAGTAAACTCAGATGAATTCCATTGAACATTATTGGTCCCTGGTGCACATATTTTTTTTTTCAAGATGGGATTGAATATGGGCATCTGGTGGCCATTTTGTTAAAACAACTGGTGTTCCAGGGCCATATCTCTAACGTGCCTTAACTGATCACATTCAAACTTTACACATACATGCATCTGCTGTTTGATCCACATAATGAATATATTTCATTCAAACTTAGTTACGTTCATTGAACATAATGGGTCTTTGATGCATGTCATTTTTTTTTCTTGGCAGTTCAGATTCAAAAAGGCCAACTTTGATAGAACTTCAATGCATATAAATTGTTTCCCAGATTAGATTCAAAATGGATGATTGGTGGCCATTTTGTTTTAACAAATGCTGTTCTAGTGCCGAATCTCCGACATTCTTTGACCAGTCTCATTCAACACAAATACACAAAAAATGCACATTAAATAAATTTGACTTCTGTTTGTATTATATCTGGCATATGAGTATCAGTCATAATAGATAATAAAAACATGTACTGAATCAGACATCATACAACCAGTACCATTCTACTGATGTAACCTATCAGCATACTAATCACACTAACTTCATAAATCGATACTGTTATTTTCAATGACTTGTTTATTCTGTATTTTACTATAATTTTGTTGATATTGTTTTTAATTAAATAATAATTGCATAATAAATTGTATTTTAATTTCCCTACAGAGTGTTTGGTGAGTTTATTTAGTCTTGGCTGCAATGTCTTGGTTTTCTTTATCAATGGTTATTAATGTAGAGTTAATGCCCGTCACCTGAAAGAATTTCTGACCATGATCAGTCATGATTCATCATAATTATCATGGGTTATCTTGGTCTTTACCTATGATGTAATGTCTTTATCTGGAGTTGGTCAAGTTCATTTTGTATACTTTACACAAATACATAAACCTGAACATATTAAGTTTTATGTCAGGCTTGTATATTTTGATTGTGAAAACCACAATCTTGGCAGTCTAAATCAACATATTCACATTGAACTTGCATTATATTGATATAACATTGATTGATGACACTGAGTTTATGCTCCATGCTTAACAGTCAACCATTAAGGGAAGACTTGATTGAAACAGACATACCACACTGTCCTGTGGAGAGAACACACAAGGCAGCTGTTTCACATGAAATTGAAATATCATTAATGTTTGCTGGGACTATTCGTGGGTGCATGCGTGATTTACCTTGGAATGTGTGTTGAGCCAGCATGTCTACAGTTGTCGTAATTATATTTTCTGTGACTGTCAACTATGAATGGTAGTGCAAGTAACAGTACAATTCTACTGATCAAAATAAAGATATTGTCTCAAATGATTAATTGTCGCCACATATAAAAACAGATGAGAGGTCACGAAAACAATGCTGTTATTGTACCTGGCTATGGGTCTGTAATTTGTGTAAACAGAAATACTCCCATATCGTGTTTTTCTGGTAAAACAGCCTTGCTTGCACTTAAAAGAAGGAAAGTGAGCAATTGTAGTCCATTACCAGTAGTAATTGAACTTTGAAAAGTACTTTTTTTGCTGCTGTTAATGAAATTCTTCTGTCATGTACACTGACACAGCTTCATCAGTGTCCTTTCAAATGTGTCAGATTTTTATTCAATTCACAACTCGATAAAATTCTATAAATGCTGCAGACATATTTATTTACTGCACTTTCCGCTTTTTCCAGGTTTGCTGAGACTTATAATTTTGATGTGTTAGAGGGCCTGATCACTGAACCCCCTAAGTGTGGTGTTTGTGGTGAATCAGCAACAAAGAGATGTTCTAGATGTCAGAATGAGTGGTACTGCAGAAGGTATGTACTGTTTAGCCAGTCTGGTGGTGGGACAACATTGATGATTCAATCCCAAACCACTCACATAAATACCAAAAACTCTTCAAAATGTTGATAGATTTATTAAATAATTAGTTTATGTTTTTAGAATACAAAATAACAGTGAAATCTTAATTGGTTGAAATGAGTGAAAATATTTATTTAAAAAAGTTAGGTGAAATTCAAGGTTCTTGGTTGCTAAAACAAAAATAAACTATCAAAATGCACTTTTAGGATATTTCACGGGCAAAGTAATATCTTGCAAGTCAGTAAAATATATTTCAACTGTTGTCAGTGGCAATTCTGTTAAAAATGGTTCAACACTCATTTCACTTTTTAAAATTTGCTAATTGCTTCTTTAAAAATCTTGCCAATAGTCTGATGGGATAATTACGAAATCATTTCCATAATGTGGTGTTTGTGATCGTCATTATCGATAAATTTTCTGCAGTTCTGACTGGTTAGTGCATGCATGGCCTTCCATGTTGAAGGACACAATAACAGGTCAATAAACATGGCATGGCAGACATTGTAAAAATTTGAATTTTACATATACATGAACAAAAATTATATCAAAAAGTTTTTTGTGTATGTTGTGATTAGCTAGGTGTTCATTTTT